CTTTGGGTAAAGGGAGATCACCTCTCATGGGAGGGACTTCTGACCTGTTGGGGGCAGGGAGGAGGTCAGAGAGTCCCTCCTACCCCTGCCTTTTCGCAAGCACCTTCAGGTTAAACTATTCCATATTCCCAGGTGCTGTGTTTTGGGGTAGTGCGTTGTGAACTTCATCGAATGCAGTTCCTTAAGCTCTCTGAGCCTGTTCTGTAAAATGGGTGGCTTGCAGTAGCACCGTGATTCCCAGGCTTATTGACACATCACATTCATGTGGAGAGCTTTCAAAAAATACCGATTCCTGAACCCAAACCAGACAAGTCTGAATCAGTAGCTTCTCTGCGGGCCACAGGGCGTCAGTGCAGTTAATAACCTCTGCCAGAGATTCTGATCTCCGATGCCCTACCTGACGATAAAACTGAGTTGTGGCACAGCTGGCTGCTCGCTTTTGGTATGGTGGTTGGATTCTGATGTGAGAAGCTGCTGAGGTGGCAGCCGGGCCACATCATTAAGAGAAAGCGCGGCTAAATCATCTGTGTGTCAAATGAGGCTAATTACACCAGCGAAACCCTCTCAGTCAGCATGTGAGTAAAATGCACACTGGAAGCAGCTGGGAAGGATGTACTCACTTCCTAAACTCATTCAGCGAGACTGAAGGTAGCTGAAACAGTACCCTTTACAGCAGTTCCTAAATCTGCTTTTGATCATCAAAAACGTTCGGTCACCAGAACAGAATTTCCATCTGAGAGCTTATACGCCACAATTTCAGATCGTTTTCCTTGGGAGAGCTTTATATTTACATGCAGATGGTGTTTTTCTATTTTCCTTATACACAATCCCATCTAAAAGCCCTTTGCTTTCTGTAAAAGCAACAAGATGTTTTAAAGCCCTTTTGTTTATTGCCGTTAATATAATGGTTTCTGTCATGGAAATGGTTTATAAAATGGATTAAACTTATAATTGCCTTTGTTTTTCTTTAAATGTTTCTGTGGTGATCCATGAAAGATGAGACTAGTAATATTTAACACTTGTTGAGGGCTTGCTCTGTACCATGGACAATCCTACTTAATTTATGTATCCGTATTTAATCTCATTTGTTTCTCTCAATAATTGCATATGGTAACTATTTTCAGATCCTTTTCTTAATGTTTATTTATTTATTTTGAGAGAGACAGAGAGTGACAGCACACAAGCGAGCAGAAGGGAAGGGCAGAGAGAGAGAGAGGAGAGAGAGAGGAGAGAGAGAATCCCAAGCAGGCTCTGTGCCATCAGCTCAGAGCCCCATGCTGGGCTTGATCTCATGGACCGCGAGATCATGACCTGAGCCAAAACCAAGAGTTGGAACTCAACCAACTGAGCCACCCAGATGCCCCTCAGATCCTTTTTATATGATGAGGCAATTGGGCTAAGGAAGTTGTCCAAGAGCACATCGTTACTAAAGAGTTCAGCTGGAATGTGAATCCAGCAGGCTGTTGCCAGATCTTCCTCTTTCATATTTAGACCAGTATTCCCCAAAGTATGCATTTTAGAAAGTTATTTGCACAGGATATTAATAAATGATGCTTGGGGTGGTAGCATGAATTAGGTTGGGAAATACTGGGTTAAACAAATTGGTTTATTTTGTGTGTGATTTCTCCGAGGCTTTAAAAACTCGGGTGCTGTACAAATCTCTAAAAGGCAAAAGCAGAATTTCACATTTCCCAAACTTCCTTGAGCACAAAACTCTTCTGGGTCAAGTGTCTTTAGACCACTGTCAAACTAAGCCTATGAAATAATGGTTTGCAAATCAGTTATGTGGAAGCTGGTCTACTTCCCTGCCCACTTAAGCTAAATGTATTGGTCCCTTTTATAGGGATGATGGGAAGACCTGCAGGCAAGAGGCCAACAGTGTGTTGCCACTATGTGCCTGTGTTCTTGACTTTACAAGTGATCATTCCAGTAAATTGGTAATACCTTTCTTGGGAGTAATATAGCCACGTCTATGAAAAGCTTCTCAACCTTGGGGATTTCAAAATAAATCCCTGGGATGGGAAGAAAACATTAGAACATCTATTTAAAACTTCTCATGTTTGCCTTTTGTGCATATGTTTTGTTAAATAGTTGTATATGTGTGTGCATGTGTGTATATATGTATATGTCTTTGTATGTATATTATATACATGAAACATGCCAAAAATCAAGATTTAGAAATATGATAAATATATATATTTATATTTAAGCATATTTAATCAGGGGTGCCTGGGTGGCTCAGTCGGTTGAGCGTCCGACTGCAGCTCAGGTCATAATCTTGCGGTCCGTGGTTTCGAGCCCTGCGTCGGGCTCTGTGCTGACTGCTCAGAGCCTGGAGCCTGTTTCAGATTCTGTGTCTCCTCTCTCTCTGACCCTCCCCCTTTCGTGCTCTGTCTCTCTCTGTCTCAAAAATAAATAAATGTTAAAATTTTTTTTTTCCTTAAAAGGAGGTTAGAGTGGGAGAGAGCCAAAGCATAAGAGACTCTTAAAAACTGAGAACAAAATGAGGGTTGATGGGGGGTGGGAGGGAGGGAAGGGTGGGTGATGGAGGAGGGCACCTTTTGGGACGAGCACTGGGTGTTGTATGGAAACCAATTTGACAATAAATTTCATATATTGAAAAAAAAATAAAAAAATTTAAAAAAAATTTTTAAAGAATAATCATATATATTATAAATCTAATATCTATAAATGATATATTAGAATAGTAATATATATAACTGGCAAATAATGGAATATATATATGTACTGGAGATAATTTGAAAAATTATTGAGCAGATCACTTAGTCATATGAAAAGCCTTTCATTTCTTCGTATTCTTGGACCCAGCCATTTCATTTCTTAGAATGGATTCACCTTATCCTAAAGAAATAAACTTACATGTGTGTAATGATTTAACTATATGAGATGTTTACTAAAGAACTCCTGTGCTGTGAGCACTGAAAACAATCCAAACAGTGGTGCCTGGGTGGCTCGATCGGTTAAGTGCCCAACGTAAGCTCAGGTCGTGATCTCATGATTCATGGGTTCCAGCCCTGCGCCAGGCTCTGTGCTGATAGCTCAGAGCCTGGAGCCTGTTTCAGATTCTGTGTGTGTCTCTGTCTCTGCTCCTCCCCTGCTTGTGCTTACTCTCTCTCAAAAATAAATAAATAAACTTGAAAAAGAAAAGAAAACAGCCCAAATATTCGACAGGTGGGGATAGGTTACATAAAGTATGGTATATCCATATAAAAAGTCTTAACAGACTGCTATTCAAAATTATGGTAGCATGTAGGTGGTTCAGTCAGTTGAGCATCTGAGTCTTGATTTCGTCTCCGGTCATGATCTCAGGGTCGTGGGATTGAGCCTCCTGTTGGGCATGGAGCCTGCTTAAGATTCCCTCTGGCTCTCTCTCCCACTCCCATGCACTAAATACATAAATAGATAAATAAAGTAGTAATAGTAGTAGAAAAAATCCTATGGAAGAAATCCTGATTTTGTAGGTTAAAAAAAAAAGATGACAAAAGATTATTTAGTTCATATGCCTGGAAGAAAGGAGTGGGATGATGAACCAAAATGTTAATAGTGGTAGCTCTTAGTGATGCCCTAAGGGAAAATTTTATTTTCTTTATCCTTCCCTGTGTCATCTTAACTTTTGTACAATAAATGCACAAATAAGCAACAAATAAGCATTAAAATAAGCATTAAATGCTTGACTAAGGATTCCATTCATAAAGTCCCAAAGTTGGTGATTATAGAAGGGTATACAGTAGCAAAGTCTTTCCTAGCCCTGTCTCCCAGACAAGGAGCTCCTCTCTCCAAAAGTATGGAGGGTAATGGTTTCTTGTGTATCTTTCCAAGGATCTGTTATGGTGATAAAATGTGTATGTATGCATACTTTTTTTTTTTTTACCCTTTATCATACAAATAACAGTATACAAAAGTTCTGTACTTTGCTATATTAAGTAAGTCTGTGCACCTGTCACTTCACCCACATCTACAGTCTATGTGTAGGATACAACTCCCAAGAGTGGAATTGCCGAGTCAAAAAAATGTGCATTTGTCATTTGGGTAACTATTGCCATATTGCCCTCTGAGATTTAAAAACAAAAAATCGTTTCATCGTTTCTTCCAGTACTGGAATGGTTTGGGTGTTGTTTTTGTTTTTTGTTCGTTTTGCTTTGTCTTTCATTTGTGATCCACTTTAATTTATCCCGGCTTGATGGATACTTAGTAAGAAAAACAAATCATGTAAAATATTAAACTCCTCGCCTAGAGGTGGAAATTCAAGTGCCGGTTGCCCCCATCTGTTTGATCACAGGATCTAGATGCAAACAAGGACAGCTTGCGAAGGTTCAGCTTACGCAGGGAACAAGTAACACAGCCAGACCTCTTCTCTGCTGTGTGCAGGGTTGCATCCAGAGTCACACTGTAGCGAAGAGGGAAACCCCGAGAGCTCCCGTTCCACCTTCAAGTGAACTTTTCACTTCAGCAGAACTCAAGTCGCTGGTTGGATCTTCCTTCCAAAATACCGTAAGTTGCTTTCATCCTCTAAATACAAAGAAGCGGTCTCCCCCTGTGGGGTTGGGGTATGTGTTTATGGGCTGGTGTGCGTTTGGGTATGACCGTGTAAGAGCACACGGGAAGAGCGCTAATTTGATTCCTGTAGAGGTTGTCTAGACCGGTTACTCACTGGCAAACCTAAGCAGCTGCACTGAAATGTCAGCTGGATTTGCACAGCTGACTCAAGTTGCCAAAATGAGAGCGGCAGAGTAGTTCCATAAACTGACCCTATCCAGTCAAGCCCTGCTTAATATAGATACGGCATAAGCGTAGCTCCAGTCACCCCTAGCTGCTCAGCACACGGTGCTGGGATTCTCAGGGGGGAAAAAAATCTCTCAAAGCAGCGTTAACCTGGATTGCTTGTTCACTGGGGGAACTCCTTGAGAGTCGATGATTTTGAGAGTCTTTGGTTATTTCTCCTTCTCTAGTAACACAGAGAAATATCGAGAAAAACAATCATGTCAGAACACAGCAGGAATTCAGATCAAGAGGAACTGTTTGATGAGGAGATTGATGAAGATGAAATCTTGGCCAACTTGTCCCCTGAAGAGCTAAAGAAACTGCAGTCGGAAATGGAAGTCATGGCCCCTGACCCCAGGCTTCCTGTGGGAATGATTCAGAAGGATCAGACCGACAAGCCACCCACGGGAAACTTTGACCATAAATCTCTTATGGATTATATGTATTGGCAAAAGGCATCAAGACGCATGCTGGAAGACGAACGTGTCCCTGTCACCTTTGTGCCATCCCAGGTAACCAGGGATTTGTGTATAACAGAGAAACGGCTGCCTGGGCCTGAGCGACAGGTGTCCGTGTTGCGACTGTCATTTCTCAAGACTCCATAGTTTTCTCTTGTTGTGTTGCCTCTTCTAGGTTAAATCCATAATGTTTAATCAGATGCCAGATTGAAACTTCCTGAAACACTTACATGGTAGAATTGGGAAGAAACAGTGGTAATTGCTTGTCAATGTCTCTTTTTTTAAAAAAATTACTATGGGGTTCACCGTGTAGGAAAGCCTGTATTCTGCAGACATGATACTTAATGAATTAACTCATAACCCAGAAGCATTTGTCCTTGACTCTTTTTTTTTTTTTGGCTCAGAAGCTGTTTTAAGAAGCTGATGAAAACTCTGTACCCCTCCTTCTGCATATGCATCCATATGCAGTATTTCACGTACAACGGCCAAGGTCTTAAACCCCTCTGAAGACCCACCACACAACTTACAGTTAACCAAGTTACATAACTAAAAATTCAATATTAACACAGCTTATTGGCTATCAGTAATAAGTTTAGAGGCTGATAGCTATGAAAGAGTTGTTTTAAGGATGGTTCTTTCTTAAATATGTTTTTTATATGAAAACTAGAATTTATGGTCGAATCTATGAGACGATTGTGTATTAGCATACTTTTTTAAATGTTCCACTTACAAATGACATAGAAAGAAGACAGAGATCCCCGCGGGTAAAGTCTCTTTTTGTTATGCCTGCTTATATAGATATCTTGTCTCACTGCTCTTATGCAGGCTGTAATTAAGGAAAGTTATAAACTATCTTCATGGTTAGGAGAGTTTAAACATGTACTAAACTTAAGACAATAAATTGCTTGCTTGATCAGATTCCAGTTTCAGGTATAATCTCCAGATATTTTACAACTGGACTAGAAGACAATTCTATATGAATGTGAATTTCAGAAAAAGAAAAATAATTGAGTACTTTGAACACTTTGTTCCCTTGGTATAATTTAAACAGCTTGATGATTGGCTCCCCCTCCTGGGACAGATGAGAAATGCAATGGTGAAGGCTTTAGGTAGTTTTAGGATAACTGTTGTCAACTGTGACTTCCAACCTACAATATGTTAGAAGCGATAAGAAAGTTACTGCTTGAAAATGCTACATGAGCTTTTGAAATGACACCAACGAGTTACACATGTGGTATAGGAAAGCACCCTGATTGTTGGGCAAGAATCTAATAAACATTATTGATTAAAGGCTGCCATTTTCTTTTCTACATTAAGCAATTGTTGCTAAATAAATAATCCTGTCCTCTTTTGTAGCTGGCTCTGTCTCTAGATACTTTGTTTCAAAAGAAACTGACTAGCACGCCTGTCCTTGGAGTTGCCAGGGCAGTTACAGAGCTGAGGAGACCAAAAAAGAAAAAAAACAAAAAACAAAAAACCCAAGTCTAGGTCTTTGATATATTTCAAAATACCAAGGTGCTCTCATTTTCCCCACAATATGTTACATTTTCAGGATAAGTACCGTGATGTACACATTACATTAGGTTAGCAAGAATTTAAGGAATGCAAATTTTGTTGAAGGCAATAAGTAAATTATTCTGTAACCCGGGACTATGAGTACAAAAATGCCTATTCAGCTATATATAAAACCAAGAGTTCAATGTATTGATAGATAAGCCTGTGAGGTTTTCACAGCAAATCATTTTTGGGTCACTTCCAGAATTGAATACCATTTTAAAAAACAATACAGAATCTGAAAACAAAATTAGGTTTCAGTTTAATATATGGGATGAGATAAACACAACCGAAAAAAATGTGTGTTTGTATGTGTAGTATGGCTATAAAAATTCATCTTTATTTAGGTTATATTTGCTTACAAAATGAGTATGCATACTTTGTTTTAAAAAGGAAACCACTCAAACACTTGAGAATTATAGAATGTAAAAAGTAAAAATCCCCCAAATGCTTCCCTTCCCCAGTTATCTTTTTTTTTAATTTTTTTAAATGTTTATTTATTTTTGAGAGAGACAGAGACAGAGTGTGAGTTGGGGAGGGGCAGAGAGAAAGGGAGACAGAGTCCGGAGCAGGCTCCAGGCTCTGAGCTGTCAGCACAGAGCTTGACGCAGGGCTTGAACTCACAAACCACGAGATCATGACCTGAGCCAAAGTTGGACGCTTAACCAGCTGAGACACCCATGTGTCCCGTCCCCAGTTATCTTTTTCTTTTTTTTTTTTTTTTTTTTTTTTTTTTTTTTTTTTTTTTTTAAGATTTTATTGTTTGGGGCACCTGGGTGGCTCAGCTGGTTAGGTGTCCGACATTAGCTCAGGTCATGATCTCACTGGTCATGGGTTCGAGCCCCACATCAGGCTCTGTGCAGACAGCTCAGAGCCTGGAGCCTGCTTCAGATTCTGTGTCTTCTCTGTCTGCCCTTCCCCTGCTAGTGCTCTTTCTTTTTCAAAAATAAAATAAAAACATTAAAAAAATATTTTATTGTTTAAGCAGTCTCTACATCCAATGTGGGGCTCGAACTCACAACTCTGAGGTCAGGAGTCCTGTACCCCACCCTTGATGAACCAGCCAGGTGCTCTTCCCTTCCCAGTTAGCTCTCTTTCTAAGAGATAACTACTAATTTGGTAAACATTACAAGAGACTTTTTTCCCCAATATTTTATAAACTTGATATGTTGTATATGTGTTTATATACGTATACACATATAAACGGAATGCTCTACATACAGTTCCTTTTTTTTTTCCCCACTTCATAATAAACCTTTTTCTTATTTCTAGTAGCTACTGCTCTGCTTCATATCTCTCCACTGTCCTGTGTTCTAACCCTCCTAAAACTCTCTTTTAGGTGGGCACTCAAGAGCAGCATGAAGAAAGAGGCACAGGTAATAGACACGTGTCCCACTATTTAAAAGAAAAGCTCAACAATGAAATCACAGCCAATAAAAGAGAATCGAAAGGCAGCGACGATGTCCAAGAACCAGATGAGGAGGACGGTGAAGAAGATGAAGGAGATGAAGATGATGAAGATGATGAGGAGGATGAGGAGGATGAGGAGGATGAGGATGAAGATGATGAGGATGAAGATGGCAGGGAAGATAAAAAGCCGCAAAGAGGAGAGGAAGGTGAGGGAAAGGAGCAAATCAGAAACGGTGAGAGCAGCTCCCCGCAAGTAGCTAAGAAAGCATTCGAAGAACAGAAAGACAGGCCAGAGGTCCAAGAAAAGAGCGAGAAGAAAGTATCAAAATTAGATCCTAAGAAGTTAGCTCTAGACACCAGTTTTTTAAAGGTAAGTGCAAGGCCTTCAGGAAACCAGACGGACCTGGATGGGAGCTTGCGGAGAGTTAGACAGAATGATCCCGATATGAAGGAGCTCAATTTGAACAACATTGAAAACATCCCCAAGGAAATGTTACTGGACTTTGTCAACGCAATGAAGAAAAACAAACACGTCAAAACCTTCAGTTTAGCAAACGTGGGCGCCGATGAGAACATCGCGTTTGCCTTGGCTAACATGTTGCGGGAAAATAGGAGCATCACCACTCTCAACATCGAGTCCAACTTCATCACAGGTAAAGGAATTGTGGCCATCATGAGGTGTCTCCAGTTCAACGAGACGCTCACTGAACTTCGGTTTCACAATCAAAGGCACATGCTGGGCCACCATGCCGAAATGGAAATATCCAGACTGTTGAAGGCCAACACCACCCTCCTGAAGATGGGCTACCATTTTGAGCTCCCGGGCCCCAGAATGGTGGTAACCAACCTGCTCACCAGGAATCAGGATAAACAAAGGCAGAAAAGACAAGAGGAGCAAAGACAACAGCAACTGAAAGAGCAGAGGAAGTTGATAGCCATGCTGGAGAACGGGTTGGGGCTACCTCCTGGAATGTGGGAGAAGTTGGGAGGACCCATGCCGGATGCCAGGATGCAGGAGTTCCTCCAACCTCCTCCTCAGCCTCCCAACCCCCAGGCAGTCCCCTTCAGTCGGCAGAACGAAATGATGAAGAAGCCATCACAGCCTCCGAAGTACAGGACGGACCCTGACTCCTTCCGGGTGGTGAAGCTGAAGAGAATCCAGCGCAAATCTCGGATGCCAGAGGCCAGAGAACCCCCCGAGAAAACCAACCTCAAAGACGTCATCAGAACACTGAAGCCAGTGCCGAGAAATAGGCCGCCCCCGTTGGTGGAAATCACTCCCAGAGATCAGCTCTTGAATGACATTCGTCACAGCAATGTCGCCTACCTTAAACCCGTAAGTAGAGGGAAAGAGAAATGGGGAGCAAGCACCAGCCAGTGTATCCCACCTCTATTCCCTGTTCGTTTTTGTTTTTGTTTTTAATGTTTATTTTTTGAGAGAGAGACAGAGTGTGAGTAGGGGAGGGGAGGGGCAGGGAGAGAGGGAGACGCAGAATCCGAAGCAGGCTCCAGGCTCTGAGCTGCCAGCACATAGCCCAATGTGGGGCTCGAACTCATGAAACATGAGATCATGACCTGAGCCAAAGTCAAACACTTAACCGACTGAGCCACCCAGGCGCCCCTCCCTGCTTGTTTTAATGCGAGGACATTTTCGTAAGTGTGACTAACTGGAAGAAGCCCATCAACATTACCAGGGGACCTAAATTACTAGTTGTCCTCTTGGGCATACATACACCTGTACACCTTAGTAATAATAATACTAACAGCTAACATTTATTAGGTACTTACTATGGGCCAGATTGATGATATGAATTATCTTATAGGGCTAGCAACCCTATAAGGTGTTATTAGTCTCCACATGTTATTAAAAAGAAACTGAGGCTTAGAGAAGTTAAATACCAAGTATAGGAGATACAGGTAGAAAGTGGTAGAATTGACTCGGACGCTCAGTTCCAAGTTGAGGATCAAGCTTTTATTTGCCCCAGCCATAAAGCGGACCTTCAGAGATCTTGAGGAACCTGTTGCAGGAATAAGTAAGAATGAAGCCTAAATCAGGCCCCTTATTTGTAAATAACTGAGGGCTTCCAAAATGTTTAAAGATAGTTGGTACTTTTTTAGTAGATGAAGAGAGACTACGTACAATTGCATTTATATATTCTTCACTTTTTAGACAGCCAGACAAATGGCAAACTTCAAGTTAGTGTCTCCATGAATTAATGGAGTTTTAACTACTATTTCAGTTTTAATATTTACAATGATTCACTATTGCTGCTGCTGATACATGAAAGTATTTTATTCCTTGCAGGTTAAGTTGAGGAAATAATTTTTTTTGGTCATTACTATGATAGCATTTATGGAATCTGAAAGGTGTGTGTCCCAAGGTCACAGGTAGCTGATAATTAACTGTATTATTTAAAAAATTTTTTTAAATTTTTTTTAATGTTTATTTATATTTGAGAGTGAGAAACAGAGCATGAACAGGGGAGGGGCAGAGAGAGAGACACACACACAGAAACCAAAGCAGGCTCCAGGCTCCGAGCTGTCAGCACAGAGTCCGACGCGGGGCTTGAACCCACGAACCGTGAGATCATGACCTGAGCCGAAGTCGGACGCTTCACCGACTGAGCCACCCAGACGCCCCAAAATTTTTCTTTTTTTTTAATGTTTGTTTATTTTTGAAGGAAAGAGGCAGAGTGTGGGTGGGGGAGGGGCAGAGAGAGAGGAAGACACAGAATCAGAAATGCGCTCCAGGCTCTGAGCTGTCAGCGCAGAGCCCAACATGGGGCTCGAACTCACAAACCGTGAGATCATGACATGAACTTAAGTCGGTCGCTTCACCGACTGAGCCACCCAGGTGCCCCAGTTTCAAATCCTAGTGTGTAATTCAGGCAGAATCGTCTGTACATGATTTCATCATAGGGAGCCTCAATTTTTTCAAGATGCGTTCTACATATGTATGTTCCTTATTCCCATCTGCTAGTAATACAGAATTGACAACATTCCATTCCTCCAAATCAAAGATGACTTTCCTGTGTGTGGTAGGATTCTGGTTCTTCCTAGGGCAGAAGCCAGGGTGAGAACACTAGAGGTCCCATGAGGTCAGGCAAGAGTTCTTTGCCTGCCCTTGGGTACTACATCGACTTGCTGCACCTGCTCCTCTCCCCGGCAGCCAGACCTCTGTAGGGGGTGGATTGGGCTGTTGTTTTGAGAGAAACTAGCTCTGTTACTGTGCAACCAATCATTGGTAAAGCATCTGGGAGCTGTCTGGGAGGCTGTACCATCGGAAAATAACAGTCTAAAAAGAGTGAAGGGAAGTCTTTTTACAATCTACATTACAGGTGGCCTGTGGATTCAGAGTAGAAGAGATAAACAAGTTCAGATGATCATCTGACCCAATTCCCTGCCTTCCCAGGGAGTGTTGCAGTGAGCGAGTCTGCTTTTCCTAGAGTCTGTTTCATTGTACCCATTCACTTATTCATTAATGCTACACATATTTACATAGTACTTTTTACATGTCAGGCACTATCCGAGGGGTCAAGAGTACTGTGGTGAATAAGACAGGTGCAGTCTTGGCCTCATGGAGCTAAGGGTCTTGGTTTTGTAATTTCCATAGTCAGGACACTCTGCCTTTTGGTCAGTTGAAACCATTTCAACTCTGAGTTCAGATTCCAGAACAGAGGGCAATAAAATAAATTCCCAAGGATACTTATAAAAGTGCAAAGTCCTGCTAAGTACTACATTTTCCCCTTTTGATCAATTCGAGGAAGTTACCAGTTTTAAGCTGTGTTTTGTTTTTATGGTCCACTGAGAAGGAAACATGCTTCAAAGTAAACTCTGACGTGATTTTTGAATGATGCCCTTGCACATTGGCCTCTGCTTTGAAATGTCTTTTATCTGCTCCAACAGATTGGCAATTCCGCCTGCTTTCCGCTGCCTGGTTTGGCCAGCAATAGGTATCTCTTTGCATATATTTAAGATATAGAATGTCACGCAACTTCATCCACATAGTCCTGGAAAATGCTCTGCAGAAATGTGAAAATGCATCATTCCACTGACAAACCTTCACTCCACTAATGTCCCTTTGCTCCCCACTGATCAAATTTTGTGCTTTGCTACATGCACGATAAGTCTCTGCTTTCATGATGAATCATAGCGTGATCTTAAAAGCTATTCTTGTCATTTTGAAATCATTTTAGGCTTGCGGAAGCTCAAAAATACTGCAAAGAACTGGTACATACCCATCACATTTTGTCAACTTTGACATTCTTCAAAAGCTACTCTATTTATTAAGTTTCATTTGGGTAATCTACACCCAATGTGGGGCTTGGGCCCATGACCTCGAGATCAAGAGTTGCTTGCTATCCCCACTGAGCCAGCCAAGCACGCCCAAACAGTCTTTTGTTTAGACTAGGCTCCCCACCCAGTGTGGGGCTTGAACTCGCGACCCGGAGATCAAGAGTCGCATGCTCTACTAACCCAGCCAGCCCGTGTAGTTAATGGAAGCGCTAATAGGGTTCAAGGCCATGGTGTGTTCGTGCTTGCATGTGCAACCAGCTATTGTAAAACATCATGGCATGCAAGACGCTTTCTGGTCTGGGGACTGTGGAAATGTCACTGAAAACGCCCCTGGTGATGGTATCACAAAATCTGAGCAGAAAGGGATCTTTTTAGCCAGCCAAAGGAGACATCACAGCATTCATTTTGGAGAGCTTAAACTAAAGGTTTTTAGGTTTTTCTCCCCACGCTTGCGTTGGTAGACAGAGATGCCCTCCAAACCCCTGGGTTTTCAAATAGGAGGTTAAGATGAAAGAATAATTTTGAAATGTGACTTTTTTCCCCGTGTTCCTCACTGGAATCTTGAGTGTCCAAAAGCATATGTACAAATTATTTAGTACTATTATTTAGGAAACTTGAAAGGGAAAAACAAGACTAGCTCTTTTCCTCTCGTGGACTTGGAAATCCTCTTTTTGCATTTGCCAGAGGAGATCTCATCAAGTAGTCAGTTTGTATTTTTTAATCGTATTTTTTTCATTTCCAATGCCTATTCTGTCCCCATGCTTGCTTCTGGCCTGGGAACTTTGAAATGAAGTTGCTAGCAAAGAATAAAAGAAAACCTGTACCCTTGCTCAGCTCAAATGCTACCTCCTCCAAGAAGCCGCCCATTTAATTCAGCTTAAGAGGAATGTATGTATTCTGTGGGCCAGGGATGGAGAACTGACAGATTGCCAGCCAAGCCTCCAGGCCTATATTGTTTGGCTTGAGTATTGTTATACAAAATTTAAAATACCACGTAATAATATCGAGACCTCTGGCACCCATGGAAACATCAGATCTGGCCACAGTGGGCTCGCATTTGCATGTACTAATCAGGTGGATCTGGGATTGGCTTCTCCCTTGAGGTAGATGATGGACTCTTGAGTCTTTCTGTCTCCACCATGCCCTACCACCTAATACCTGGCCTGTTCCACTCATTTGCATGACTTAGTTGGCTCCAGTAGAGTTTTTTAGGTTCTTCTCTTCTTGTTTTTAGCTGTGCTTTTAAACTCTGTCTTGTCTAGCAAAGTGAATTTATTCGATAATCACTAATTCCTTTCCCTATAAGTTAATAACTAGTCAGTGTGATACCAGCCCAAAACAAAGATGTTAGGCTTATACAGCCTTATCCTTCCCTGGCAAATGTATGATTTTTTTTTTTTTTTCATCTTGAAAATTTTGTGGACCACTCACTGCCTACCATCCCAGATGGGTCTTTGTACTTCTCCCTGAAATAAAATTCCATCTGCGACAACAATTTAATTCACCGAGGCTAAATGCATTTATATCTTACACAAGCTTCAGTGCCAATCAGAAAAGGCGTTTTAACATTAACTCAGTTTCACTTTGGGCTCACCTATGTATTCCTGGATTGCTTCCACTCAATTGCCTAAAAACACAGCTAAATTTCTCCTTCGGAAAGACTTCAGTTTAATAATATCCTAAGCAGCCTTGGTTAGCCAAAAGTCTCCATGACGCATTGGCAGTTGTGATTATAAGATGCAACATTATAGACTCTTGAGTCTTTATCTTTATTTCTAGCCATTTCTTCTTTGCCTCATTAACAAGATCTTCTTTCTCTTTAGGATTTCTGGATTCTCTCCTTTCACAATTTTCTCCTTCCTATTTTTATCTTTTCCCTTTGTTTCAATTGTCACATAATCTGGGACACTCCATGGATTTCTCTTTCCCCTTAGATCACTGGGGTTTTCTTGACTACTTCGTTCAATTTGTCCTCAAGCCAAGCTCTTGAGTTTAGTGTTCCATGCTCTCTTCCTTCTCTCACGCGTTCAGGTCTAAAGCCCCAGCATTATCTTCAACAACTTTTTTCCTGCCTTATTGTTTTTGCTCCTTTAGAGGATATCTCTCTATAAGAAAAAGCTATGTCACGTCTCAAACTCCCCTAGAAAGAGCCTATGCTTACGGAATTACTTAGTCTAAGAGCTGCCATTTCCTAATACCTAGTGTAGAAAAGAATCTATGGTATACAACGTTTCTGAAGTCTGTGATAGTGATTCTTAAATTTTAGCATGCATCAGAATCACCTAGAAGGCTAAATACGGATGGCTGAGCCCACCTCTAGAATGCCCCATTCCATAGGTTTTAGATGGTGCCTGAGAATTTGCATTTCTGTCAACTTCCTTGGCGATGCCGATGCTACTTTTTTGGACGCCACACTTTGATGGTCACAACTCCGTGACCTCCATGACAAACCACATCTTTTAACAGTTCCCCTAAAGGAACTTCCTTCCTTGCCTCTATACCCTCTACTCAAATGACCTTTAATTCTATTTCTATCTGTTGAAATCTATCCCAACAGGCTTGACTCAAATACGACTTCTTACAACAAAAGAAACCCAACAAGTTACCAGTAGTGAATACTTTCCCTTTCTATTTCCATTATGCTTAATCGGCACCTCTCTTACTGAATCTCCCACATTCTGCTTCAGGCTCAGCCCTCTTAAGGGTACAGTGTAGGTCTCCTAGGGGACTGTGAATTCCTCAAACTAGCCTTTCCTCTTCTCTGTCCTGGATACCCACTGAGGTGTTGACTGAGAGCAGGAATTCACATCCACATGCCAAGTTAAATAACCCCTACCGAGATGGATCTTCTCTTCCCGGCCCAGTCTCTGTGAGTGTATGTATGTGTGTGCCTTATGTAATGCTCTCCACACATACTTTTCTTAAACTAGTTTTAACTAACAAGTAAAGAGGGGAACAGGACCCCTAACAATACCGCACGCTGATTCTCATGTGTTTGTAAGTTTTAGGTATTTATAACAGCGAGGCTAGCTATCTTTTCCTTTACAGTTTCTGTCTTTTGTGTTCTGCTTAGAAATGGCTTCTTTTGGAGATTACTAAGATACTTGCCCATCTTTTATTCCTGCATTTGTAGTTGATTTTTTTTAAATTTTCTAATGTTTATTTTTGAGGGAGAGAGAGAGAGCACGTGCGCGCGTGAGATGGGGGGGGGGCAAAGAGAGAGGGAGACACAGATTCTGAAGTGGGCTCCAGGCTCTGAGCTGTCAGCACAGAGCTGACGCAGGGCTTGAACCCATAGACGGCAAGATCATGCCCTGAGTCAAAGTCAGACGCTTAACCGGCTGAGCCACCCAGCTGCCCGTGTAGTTTTTCGTTTTAAAAAAAGATTCCATATTACAGATGAGTTAAAGGGTTAAATTTTAGAAGTAAATAGAAAGCAAAAAGCCTCCTTTGTTATTTCTTTTCCAAAGAGCTGACCAATGACAGCTAACCAATGACTCATTCTTTTTCACAGTGAATTGCCAACGTGGTCATATTTTAAATATATCAATATGTATCTGGGTTTACTCTGTTGGGCCAGTGCCACATTCTGCTTTTTAAAATATTTTTATTAATTTGGAACCCTCCCATGCATAACATTATATAACATTATGTAAATAATAACATTATGTAAAATGATTTTTTCCATTCAACAATACAAAGAACACACTGTTCTAGTTATTTGTTGCAACTTTGTAGTCGCTTTAAATACTGGGCAGTGCATTTTCTGCTCACTGGTGTTTACTGTCGGTGTCTCCATGGTTGAGCCCTACCAAAGTGCTGTCACAGCTGTCGCATCCTGAAAGTCTGACACCAGGAGGGAGAGGGCCAAAGCACATGGAGAACCCCTTGGTTTGAAGGCTGGGCAGGCAGCAGCAACCCATCAGAAGTCTCCCCAGGAGGCAGGATGTTGGGAAATTTCCAGCCAAAGGTCATGGGCAGAGAACTGCCTGTAGGAGGGGCCATAGCAGATGGCCAAGATGGCTCATCACGCTGGCAGGTGGACATGGGGAATAGGAGGAGGAACATTCTTAGTCATTATTGTACAAACTCTGAGTGTCCTCTGGAAGGTACATGCATGTGAGGTAAGTCACCCTCCTAAGATGTAACACCACTTGAAAGTGTTTAACAACTTGCCTTATATTTAAGTTGTTCCTATGAAGCAAAACTAAAATAGCAGTCAGACTTTTGCTACTCTTTTGTAATTTTTTTTTTTTTTTGCCTTAGGGCTTCTCCCAGTGATGTTTTATTTTTAAAATTTAATTGAGCTTCAAATTAGAAATGCATTTCAAGAAGGAAAGACCAGTCTTTATTATTTTCTATTAGATTTTTTTAAATGTTATTTACTTTTGAGAGAGAGACAGAGACAGAGTGCCAGTGGCGTAGGGGCAGAGAGAGAGGGAGACACAGAATCTGAAGCAGGCTCCAGGCTCCAGGCTGTAAGCTGTCAGCACAGAGCCCGATGCAGGGCTTGAACCTGTGAACCGCAAGATCATGACCTGAGCCAAAGCCGGATGCCTAACTGACTGAGCCATCCAGGCGCCCCAGAAAGACCAGTTTTTAAAAGAATATATGTTTTATACTTTTGTGGTGGTATTTTTTTGTGGTTAAGGCTTGGGTACTGATATCAGGCAGATCTCGATTCAAATCCTGCTCTGTCACTTACTAGCTGCGAGGCAAATTGTTTCTCCTCTCTGAGCCTGTTCCCTCCTTACAAGGCTATTGTATGATAGCCTTGCTTTTGAAGTGTTGATCTAGACTGCTAGCTTGTATTATATCACTTCATCCTTAAAATAGCCTTGTCTGTTAGACACATACTGTTACTGTCGTTTTACAGTGGAGAAAACTGATGTTTAGCACCACACAGCTAGGAGTGCCAGTATCAGGATTTGAACCAGGCGGATTCCAACATCTGCCCTTTTGTTTTTATAATATGCTTCACCATGTGCTTCAAGCCCTTAGATCAGTCCCTGGTATCAGTAAATGCCCACTGAATGGTGATTGTGGTTGTTACTGTTGTTTTATTATAATTTGAGTGGCTCTCTGGCCCCAATTTCTCATCCATTCTGTAACTTTTCAGACACATAGTAAGTTTTTGTCATTTTTGCTGTAAAACTCTTGAATTTCCAAGATTAATTTTTTTCCCTTTTCTTCAACTACTTCAATCCACAGGTGCAACTGCCAAAAGAGCTGGCATAAGTGGCAACAGAATCATCTAGAAGAGCAAGGATCTGAGATAATGACTCTTGTATCAGAGCTCGGAGACTCTTTGAGCAGCATACTTCTGGAGCCAGGTGGTGGAAGCGGGAACGGGCTGACATCTGATAGGAGCATTTTGTAAAGGCAGAGGCAAAATAGGGGCTGAAAAGGGAGGAGGAGGTAAAAAAAATTACTATTCTGGGACACCATTCTCTATGTCCAATCAGTTTGCGTGACTGAGATAAAAATGCAGTCACGCTTCCAGCAACAGAAGTTTCAAAGAGATTTTTGTTTTCGTAAACGTTTGTTTTGCTTTCTTCTGGAAAATAACAATAAATACTATAGAAGTGTTAAGTATTTCTCCCTCCATCTCCTGCTGTAATTCATTGCATGGTATCTTAAAGGGCACAAATCATGTTTCACTCTCTGGATATGTGAAGGGTGAATTGGGCTCCAGGACCTGCTGATGCTTTGAAATGGAAGAATGGTGAATGAGCTCTTCTCTGGAGAATCATGTGAGGATTTTCAGTCCCCAGCCCTGTTTAGCTTGCTCTCTTGGTCATTCCCCTGGTGGATCGTACTTCAGAAAGGGGTGTGTGTGTGTGTGTGTGTGTGTATGTGTGTGTGTGTTTATCTGTGAGGAGCAGAGCAGTTAAGGCACAGGACATGGAAAAAATAGTGTTTCCAGGGAAAGCAATGGGAAAAACAAACCGTATATGTATACACACACATACATATACATATACATACTCATACACGCATATACTTCCGTTTCCATATATAGAGGGAGAAAGGCAGAGAGCATGTTAGTTTTGTTTTGTTAAAAGTTTTGTATAAATAATTATTGACAAATTTTTAGTTTTAGCTAATATATATAAAACATATACATATATACACACACACATATATGTGTTTAGTCTATGCATCTAATTTGATCTTGTTGCTCTCCTCAAAAGTCTTCTAAAGGAAATTTGCTACAGGGTTAGCTTTTAATTTCTTACTGTTTTAGTCAAGGCCCTCCACTGTCTGTTTCCGATTTAGTCACATTTGCCACAGATTCTTTATGCTCCTCTTGATAAGACATCCTCATGCACAGCCTATGCCTTTGCTCTTGTTAGCCCTTCTGTAGAACACCTTCAAAACACTTCCCTCCTGCTCTCCATTACAAAAGGCCTACCCATCTTTAAAGACCAGATCAGGTCATAATCCTCCATAAAAATCTTCCAGACAACTCCAAACCCAGTGTTCTTTCCTCTTTCCAAGTTCCTAGAGCCCTTAATTATCCATTCTAGTCACTAGATGCATAGAATCTGACTTCAAAACATTTTTTTAATGTTTTTTTATTTTTTGAAGGTGGGGGGGAGGGGCAGAGAGAGAGGGAGACACAGAACCCGAAGCATGCTCCAGGCTCTGAGCTGTCAGCACAGATCCCCATGCAGGGCTCAAACCCACCAACCATGAGATCATTACCTGAGCTGAAGTCAGACCCTCAAACAACTGAGCCACCCAGGCACCCTTAGAATCTTTTATATAGAAGTGGCGTGAACATTAGAAATTAGAAAACCACACATTGACGCCTTTTCTCTCTTCTTTACCCAAGTGAGTAGTTAGTTGTGCCTGCCTTCTTTCTCCTTTTATATAATCATAGGTGGTCCATAACAAGCAAAACAGGCTAGGAGAGAATAGGCCTAATTGGGAAAGTTAAAAAATACATTATTTAGAAGGACAGACCATGGGAAAGAAATATGGTGTTTACATTTTTTAAAGATAGTTTAGTGTGTGCAAAAGTATCCACATTTGAATAGCTGTAGTTTCAATCAGGTTTTACAATAGCCAGTGGCTGAGAGGTTTTTTCCTCCAATGTTACTGTTTCTATAAAACATCCTTGCATGCAAAGCAGGTTAAGAAAGGGCTGCTGTAAATAAAACTTTGTGTCTAGCATATTCTACATCGAGAGGCTAAATGCTGTTAGGCAAAGTGCTCTAAACATGTTTAAAAGCTTACTGTTAGTAGTTGAAGCTCTTGAAAGCCCGGTGCCTTTGTTTGTATAGCCACAGTATTAATAAAGTCAGGAATTTAAACGAATGCTAATAGTCCTAAAAGAGGTATTTATTCTTAGATGTGCAAAGGGAAAAGAGGATTCAAATTCATAGCTTACTGCTTTAGTGCACAGATTTTGTCAAGAGACAGGTAAAGCAGCTTACTTATGCTTTTTCCATCAACCGACTCCTACCCTAAAAATTAGGTGAAGATTTTAACTTCTTCAGTGTCCTCTGGAACATATGCACATAGATAAGTCACCCTCCTAAGATGTAACATCACTTGAAACTTGGTTTTTTCAATTTCTAAGATTTTATTTTTAAATAATCTCTCCACCCAATGTCGGGCTTGAACTCACAACCTTGAGATCAAGAGTGGCATGGTCTACCAACAGAGCCAGCCAGGTACCCCTTAACTTGTTTTTATTTTATTTTTTTTTAACGTTTTATTTATTTTTGAGACAGAGAGAGACAGAGCATGAAAGGGGGAGGGTCAGAGAGAGAGGGAGACACAGAATCCAAAGCAGGCTCCAGGCTTCGAGCTGTCAGCACAGAGCCCGACACGGGGCTCGAACTCACGGACTGTGAGATCATGACCTGAGCCGAAGTCGGACGCTTAACCGACTGAGCCACCCAGGCACCCCTTTAATTTGTTTTTAAAATGCAATAATATATAGCACTTACATGCTACATGTGTATATCGTTATTATTCTAGAATTGACCACCAACTGTTAGTAATTGTAATGAGTATAGTTTTTATTTAAGTTGTCACTTTTTCCAAATAGATTGCATTCTTTCTACAGGATTCATGTAGAAAGTGGAAGGGGCTAAAGTGTATCAGGTTTAGAACAGGAACCCATTGGAATTCAATGTTATTCGGCTGGAAATTAATAAAATGTTGAAGTTTTGTTAAACAGTACCATAGTCCCCACGTAATCCAGTGGGGATATGTCCTAAGACCCCCCTTGGATGCCTGAAACCACAGATAGTACAGAACCCCCTATATATACTGTTTTTCTCCTGTACATAGTAGGAGAATGTTTAGCTTCTAAACCAGGCACAGAGATTAACTACAAAAATCATAAACTAGAACAATGATGCTGTAATAAAAGTTAGGTGAATGCAGTCTGTCTATCAAAATTACCTTATTGTACATACTCACCCCTCCTCTGTGATGACGTGGGATGAGAAATATTCTACGCGATGAGATGAAGTGAGGGAATGTTGTAGGCGCTCTGATGTGTAGTGTTTAGCTACTGTGGACCTCCTGACGATGTGTCACAAGGAGGATCATCTGCTTCTGGACTGAGGCTGACAGCGGGTAACTGACGTGTGGTGGGGGGACCTAGTGTATTTGAAACACGAGCAGAGCGGGTCGTGCAGTATAGCACATCCTCGTTGTTTAAAGGGTTGTCACCGAGTCTCCCAGATATTCAGCACAGATGTGCATCAATAAACAACGTCTCTCACACACAGAAAATCTTTGATAGGTTTTATTCTCCGTATTTGGGTAAGGGTACAAACTCTAGACCGTGGCTGTGAAGTCACGGTGGTAACGCTGTGCTAGAGATGATGGCTGCGGGTTGGCTGAGGAATAAAAACGCAAGAAAGATGGGAGTGGCATATGCAGTTGCTTCTTATTTTAGGATGTACAGAGAGTCTCTCCGGTAAGTACCACTCCAGTTGTCTTCATAATTCAGTGTTAGGGAAACCCAAGTGTTTTCTACTCATCTATGAAATCACCCAGTCGGCAAGCAAAACGTCTTTGTATAACCTATTTCTAAATACATGAGAAATAAAAGGAAGAAAGGAAAAGGATATATAAACTCACGCTGTAGTAATTCTAATGCCTATCTGTAAAAACATGTGGTCGTAACAATTGCTATCTAAAATTTTCATGATTTGCAGAAGCCGCTGATCACTCCCACGTTCATGTCTGTTTGCTTGGTCATCTAAAGATGCTTTTCAGATTTCAAAAGATTAGCCATTATTGTTCTCTTTGTGCCCCTAAGGAATTAATAAAATGCACATTGATTTCCTTCCTTCTCAATGCTCCAGTTAAAAGCCAAATAGTGAAAAAAATACAAGAAACATTATCTTGGACACCTTTTTGCCATAACAGCAAGAAATATGCAATATAAACAGAACTCAAGTTTTATTTTTTTGTTGTTGCTTTTTTTAACAAGACTGTCAAGAATAATACAGGTTCCGTAGCTCTAACCTCCTTAAAGAAGATGACATTTAATTTGCAACAAATACCTGCTAGCGAAAAGGCATTACTAGCATTTTAAAAATTTGTAAAAACTTGACAAAATATCTCCTAAACAGCAATCTTTCTATTTGTAAACAAAATAAAAACAACTGGTTTATCCAGTTTTCACTGCACGTCAAACGGGTGGTAAAGTGATACAGATCATCTTTGATTTTAAAAGAAGAATAATAAAAGCTAAACTAAATTAGACTCCACATATTACAGTCCCAGGGAATATTTTTGGAGGAGAATGATGCGGGTGGGGGCGGGGGGGGGGG